TAATAATAATAATAATAATAATAATAATAATAATAATAATAATAATAATAATAATAATAATAAAGAGTCTGCCATAAAGAGGCAAGCTCGGCCCGAGCTCGAGCTCGAGCCTGCCAAAAGAGGCGAACTCGACTCAATCGCACCCCTATGTTACTAACATCGCAAACTGCACCTGCCTAGTTAGGATTACAAACTGCCCCTTGTTGGAAGGCGCACTATAGCAAGCGGGCGAGTAGTTCGGTGTGTTGAGAGAATTACACAATACTAACAAAATTGCATCTAAGATATAATGACACAGCCAATAACCGCAAAGATAAAATTGTTCAACAATTCTTAAACATGAAAATAATATTTGTGAGTCTTATGTTATTTACGACATTTTCCTCACATTCAAAGTTAAACAAGAATTCAACACTTTGTTCACTGCAACATTCAATATAAAGCGAGTTGAACTTTCTTTAATAACCTGAATAAATATAGATAAAAAGTGATCAATATAGTAAATTTCGAAAATAGAAATAAGTAATTTCCCCAAAACATAGAAAAAGCAGAAAGGTTATGGTCTTATTTGATATTCTGTACATACTGAATTATCATTTCAATTTGGTTTGGTGTGATTTTTAAACAAAACTGATGATATATATTTTGAAGGAATAATTTGAGAATGAAATAGTGTTTGGCTATATTTTGAGATGAGATAAAATACAATGTGACATCATCTTCAAGAGATGTGTGTGTTGTTGGAGTGAGTTGACGTGTTAAGGTTGGTGTGTTAAAATATAAAAAACTACTACTGGAGTGAGTTATTCAACAAAAAAAAAAAAAAAAGAGTCATAAAAAGTGGTCAGCTATAACACTATTTACCAGTATAATTTGAGAAAAGATAATAAATTATAGAAGAGCTACTAAAGATGGCCTAACAATCATATCACATTAAGGTGTTGGAAAACGATATTCAGACAAATAATTTGAAGATCAAATTAAAGTGATGTATGTTTGTTTTCTTAGTGAATGACAATTTTTATTGTACCAATTAAATATTGTTACTGTAACCCTCAATTCATGTGGAAAAAAAAAAACACTTCAAAAATTGTTGAGGAAATTGTTAAAAGAGCTAAACACACAAATTTATTCCCGGAAAGGAATAGAAATGAAATGAAAAGATATAAAACGTAGCCAATATATTTCATAACACATTTGCACAAACCCTGTGTAAGTTGTAATGGTTTAAAAAGCCCCCATATTAAAATAATTAGCAATTAACTCCCTATGTTGTATTTTATTTAGTTTTGCCCCTAGTGTAAATAAATATATTGACTAAAATGATGTGACTATACTGCCCTTCAATTAATAACATAAAATTAGAATTAATATATAATAGAGGCTAAATTGCAATTTTACTAAATTTCTAAAACTTAAATTAGGGGACTGAATTGTAATTTTTCCAAACATAAAATCGAATTGGATTTAAATATAATTAATCCAAAACTTTGGATCAAATTGCAATTTTTAAAATTTCTTAAATAAAGAAAAACAACACATATTTTTATGGAAAAAGAAAAAGAAAAAAAGGAAAACAAAAGAGAGAAAATTACGTCTTCCCCAAAATTCTTCTTCCCCCATTGAAATTGTCACGACCACCGGCAAACTCCCACCGCCACCACTGCCAATCACCTTGTCAAGCCGCCGTCTCCAAACAGAGAGAAAGAACGTGTCTTCCCTAAAATTCTTCTTCACCATTGAAATCATCACCATCACCAAACTCACAACACCACCTCCGGCAATCACATCGTCACTCTGTCGCCGCCACTTCCTTCCACCACGCGCCTCCTCCGCTCTTCTCATCCCCTCCACCGCCAAAGCCCTAATCGCTGCCATCGTCGGAGAAGACGATAAAAAGCAGAAAAACAACGGGGAGGTTTGGATCCGGGGGCATCAGGTACCTTGCATAGTGGTGGGCTACTATCGGGAGACGCCGGAGTAGACGCAAAAAAATGCAAAAAATAATTTTTTTCGTGGTTAAGCTCTGTTTTCGACGGGGCAGATATTTTCGTGGATTTTCACGGATTGTTGATGTGTCTTGCAGAAGAATAATGAGCTTGGATCTTAGCTCCAAACCAAATCGAATTTCGTTGGAGAGAATGTTGGAGTAGTGGAGGCGGTGAGGATATGGAGGGAGGTGAGGGCGGAGAGAGTATTCGCCAAAAGGAGCGCGGCGGTTAGCTATATTCAGTGTATTTTTGGAAAATTGCAAAATCAGTCCATGACTTAAGAAAGAAGAGGGCATTTCTGAAACTTCAAGAGACTGAATTGAAAAAATTGAAAACTTTAATAGGAGCTTAATTTTGAAGTTTATAATTTAAGGGGTATTTGGATCTTATCACGTTAAAAAATTAAACCCAAGTCGCATATTTAACGAGTGCATCGCATGACCAGTTAATAGAGACCTTAATATCATTGACTATGTAACACACGGGGTGCGTGCTAATTATTTTAACATGTTAGTTTTTTTAGCCATTAGAAATTACACCGAGATCTCATAATGAGATCCGGTTTTATCTATCCTACACCCGGTGAAGGTTACACCGGGTGTTTGTTTACCGTTGATCTACACATACCAATGTGGGTGTGTGTGTGTTTGTGTGTATATGAATGGTAAAGATCTACCCGATGTATTTCACCCGGTGTAGGATCTCAAAAGCCATGAGATCCTACTGCAAAGTCAATGTAACTATATAGCATCGATGACCGCACCAGAACCTGAATTCCTCTCACTTCAATTGTCAGTTATTTAAAGCTACGACTCTACTCTGACATTATTATTATTCATTACAACACGAAAGATAGCAGTAAGTAAAAGCAATTTTTGGGAATTAATTTCAAATTTTCATGAATTGAGGAGGAAATACACACTAGCTGCTTATAAGTTGAAAGATTATGCATAGTATTGTTTCGTTTTACAGATGGTGGGTTGTATACATAATTTGTCATTAATTAATAGTTAATACCTTTAGATTTTCTGGTAATGCCAAAGGCCCAATAAACATATATCTACCGTACGTACATAAATGCAAAACTGAGATAGAGAGAGAAGTAGAAGAAGAAGAGAGAGAGTCAAAATTTGAGTAAAGAGTTAGAATTGCAATCAAACTAAAGAAAATGAAAAGAAAGAAGGAAAAAGAAGAAGAAGAGCACAAGAAAATGGAGAAACGTGGAAGAGGGCGTCCAAAGAAGATTAAGATTGCACCTCAATCCCATAATTTGTGAGTACACACACACACACACACCAGATATGTAGAATGTGTGTGTACTGAGTATATATGTTCGCATAGTTGGATGTTTTTTTTTGGGGGGTATTTGTTTTTGTATTATTTTGTGGAAAATGGGTTTTAAGAATAATTTGTGCCAGAAAGGGAGTGATGTTTGTTTTAATTTAAAAATATTTCAAGAAAATTATCTAACCTTTAAAACGATGACGTTTAAAGAAGAAATTGAGGTAATGTTCCCTAAGTTTTTGGATGTGCATTTCCATTTATTTATTTTGTTTAGGATTTTTTTTATTTATTTAATGTTTGTTTATATTTTGACACTCAAATGTCTAAAAATATTGAAAAAAAAAATTTATTTTGAAGAAGAATCTCAAAAATAAAGTAATGTTTGTTTGTACTTTGAAAAATGTTGCCAAAACATTGCCCGAGAAACCGAAAACCGGGGATCCGAGGAAAAACTCATCTCGGTAATGGAATTTATTTCCTACCGGAATCGAGTTTTTGTTCACAAATTAGTTGTTATAATGCAGAATGTTTTACATATACATTGAGAAACTGGATTCAGTTTAATGCATAACTAATTAAGTTATTGTTTCCGCATTTGACACGCTACTGTAATTCCTTCGGAGCATTTCGTTGTAGTAGCAATCTAATTAATGCTTGAACTTGTTCGATGTTAAATCTTTACTCTCGTCTCTTGATTTTAAGTTGTTTAATTTTCTTTTCCTTTTTTTTTCTTAATTAACTTGAAGATGTGATATGATTCACGACAGAGATGAAATAACGGTGAACAGTGATGATAACTTACCCGAGTTCTTCAAAGTTTACGTATCCGAAATTTATTCTGAGAGAATGGTAAAACTCCATTTTTTTCTTGCTATCGATGATTTATCCGAGTTCTTGTATAATATGTACAAGAATCGATATCTGATTAGCCTAGTAGTGGTTGATGAATATTGTTCGATTGAATTGAAGGATATTTAATCGTTTGATCGATCTTTTTTTTTCGTTTCAGAGAATTCCTCCAGATTTTATCGAGAAATTTGGTCGAAAGAAACCGGCAATTGTCACACTAAAAACAACATCTGGAATCTCGTTTCGAGCTGATATGAACAAAATTAACAAGTGTTGGTATCTCGAAAAGGGTTGGTCGGAATTCGTGAAGGAAAATTCAGTAGAGGAAGGTGATTTTCTGACTTTCTCTTATGCCGGAAAATCGGTGTTTAATGTAAAAGTATTTGCGAAAAACGGATGTATAAAGACTGTTGATAATCTCGAAGAGGACGAACCATCCGAACCTGGTTAGTTCCTCCACAAATATTTAACTTATTTCTCTGTTTTCTTCATCATATATATATCATATATGTGGTTTTTAAGGGCAAATTGCACATCACTCCCTGTAAATTTCTAATTTTCGCACTTTACCCCCTCAATATTTTTAAAAGTGAATGACCTCCTTCAAAATGTTATTCTTGTTGCACATTGTCCCGATAGTAACACTCGGATGGATTATTCATCGGAATTGAGTATTTTTGTTGCACGTTGCCCCTTAAAACACTACTTTTTGCACGTTGCCCCTTTAAATTTTATTTTTGTTGCACAATGCCCACCAAAAAATGGCTTTTGGGGCAAAGTGCAACCAAATTAATATTCTGAAGGGGTTATCCTTTTTTTTCTATTTCTAGGGGGTAAAGTGCGAAAATGGAAAATTTATAGGGAGTGAAATGCATTTCTGTCCTTTTTTTAATTTTGCACAAATTTATTTTGTGCAGAAAATCGAAACGACAATCGAAAACCTATCTATGAAAATCGATCTTTCGCAGCAGTCATAACTGAGTCTTGCGTACGGAGAGGTTGGCTGGTAAGCTCATCGAATCGTCACACTTTTCCAAATTATTTATTTATTTACTTACTAAAATAGTGTATCTATATGATATAATTGAATTAAATGCAGCATGTACCAAGTAAGTTTTGGAAGGGGCATATGAAAATAGATGAAAAAGGAATAAGAAGTGTTACTCTTTGGATAAAGAAGAAGTCGTGGGATGTAGGTTTAGCGACTTTGTTTAACAGAGTTATCTTTTCCAGAGGTTGGATCAAATTTGCGAGAGACAATTCGTTGCGAGATGGGAATTTATGCACTTTTCGGTTGATTAATGGTAGCGACTCTGCTCTCAGTGTCACTATTAAGTAACAGCGGATAATAATTATTTATGGCATGCTTGTAGTTGTAGTAACTAATCATTGTTGTTTTTCTGAAGAATCTATATGAAATTGTTGAAACAATTAATTATTTACCACGTTTCATTAAAGAGTTTAATTAGGCCGGTTTGATCGGTGAGATCAGTCAAGATTTACTAAATAGTAAGATTTAGTTCGATGTTTGGTTGTCCCAATAATTTTTTGGGTCGACCCTCAAAACTAATTTTATCATTGTTTAGCATGGCTAATTAGGAGATACTCCATATGTTCCATTTATTTGATGTTTTTAACATTGCACGTAGATTAAAGATGGCATATATAAAGAGATCAAATTCAAATTCATAGCTAAGGCAAATTGATCCGCCCTAAAACTGTGTTGTCTCCTCGATAGTTGTTTGCGGAAATAAGCTTAGAAAGCAGTTGGGTCAGTTTGTACTGCAAAAGAAAAGAGCCGGATTGACGATGGAGTTAGCTCTTCAACGGTTAAGTCAGTGGAGCAAGAGACATTTTTAAAGGTAGATTTTTAATAGTGATGGTGAAAGAGAGAGATCAACCTCTCTTTTTTTACGTGTGTAAACCCCTAATTATAACACGTCTCTCAATGTTTTACGCGAATCCCGAGCGAGTAGGTATACTCCACCGCTCACCTCGTCCTTCCTCAGCACTTCATGGTAACCCGAGTCATCATCACCTTTGAAATGGCTATGTTTGCTCTTCGGTGATTATGAGGAGTAGTCTTTTCCGCACATCTCCCCTATTTTCAGCGGTCTTTAATTATTCGGGCATTAAATGCTGGTGTAAGAGCATTTAATGCGCCGATGAGAGCATAAGAAATGTCTGTCCGTACATGTCATAATCGGTAATGCTTAGCTCAGAGCTCTCGCGCCCTTAACCCTGTGCGTTACACTAGCCCCGAGCTCTTGAGCACTAACATTGATGCTTAGATCACAATTTCACAAAAAGGTCCATCCACTTGTTTTACCGAAAATACCCCTCAAAACACAATTCACATCAATTTCATCCATAAAACTATAACCTAATCGATATTGCACATTGACCCTAATTTTAACAAATATATCTTATTAAATCCCATTTCACTTTTCTTTTTTCATAATCTTTTTTTCCCGCCCAAACCAATGTTGAATCTATTATTTTGTTTTCCTGAAAACTTCTTCCCGCCGTTGACTTTCTTTTTCCATCGTTGACTGGTCAACGCATTAAGATTATTATGATTTGTGAACACATCACAGTAATCTTACTGTCTTACACATTGTAAAAATTAATTGTGAAAGTGCTTATTAAAATGACTTCAAAGATGAAAATTAACAACTTGAAACAGCTGCATAAAAAAAAAAAAGAGAGAGAGAGAGAGAGAGGGAGTTAATTTTGTCTATCGAATCGATGGATCCAATTCCTTGTAATTTATGATCACAAAGTTTTATTTATTTATTTATTCTTTTGCAGTGTGTTTTTATATATGGGTCTTTACAAATAAGTTCATTAATAGGTACTTATTCATAAAGAGATCCAGATAAAAAAATTATTTACCAATAAGTCCACACATGGTTCAGATTTTTGTAAAGGACTAAAATAACTCCTTATACTTTAATATGCTCCAATTTTATCCTTAACTTTATTTAACCTCAATTTGACCCCAAATTTCACAAATTATTCAATTTTGACCCAAAACTTTTTTTTTCAAAAAAAAAAAATTTCAAAATTTTTTTTCCACCGGATTCTGGCGTTGACTTTTTATTTTTTTTCTTCTTTTCTTTCTTTCTATAACTTTTTTTTTCGTTTAAACAACAATATTGATGTGATTGACAGTAATATTAACTATCTTACTGTTAAACACAGTAAAATTAACTAAACTGCAGTTTAACACAGTAATATTGCTATATAAATCTCTAGCACAGTAATATTAACACAACAAAACTCATTATTATTGTGTAATAGAGTAATATTACTATGTTTACCGTTCAACAAATGTAAACATAATAAAAAAACCAAAAGAATTAATATTACTGTGAGTGACAGTAATATTACCGTCAACCACAGTAATATTACAATAATAAACAGTAATATTATTACGTTACTCCGCGAATAACTCAAACAAACAAAAAATCAAAACAAAATAATAATATTGATGTGGTTGACAGCAATATTATTATAACAACAGTAATATTACCGTCAACCACAGTAATATTATTGTGTTTACAGTAATATTACAATAATAAACAGTAATATTATTACGTTACTCCGTGAATAACTCAAACAAAACAAAAAACCCAAAAAAATAATAATATTGATGTTGTTGACAGTAATATTATTGTGTCTACAGTTATTTTACTGTCAACGACAGTAACATAATTACGTTGACTTGTCAACAAATCAAACAAGATAAATAAAAAACAATAAAAAATAATAATATTACATTAATTTACTGTCAACGGCAGCACAATTACATAAATGTATTGTCAACGGCAGTACAATTACGTTAATTAACTATCATTGACAATATAATTACGTTAATTTACTGTCAGTGACAGCACAATTACGGTCAACATTTAGCGGCGGACGTAGAAAAACAAAAACAAACCAAATAAAAAAAAAAAAAAGAAAAAAAAACTTAAAAAAACACTAAAAAAAATCAACAGCGAAAAAATCCGGAAGAAAAAAAAAACAAAAAAGAAAAAAAAAAAAAAAAAAAAAAATCTACGTCGGAAACCGGCGAAAAAATCCGAAAGAAAAAGAAAAACAAAAAAAAATTGAAAAGTCAATGTCGGAGACCGGTGTTGACTGCCGGTCAACGCCGGAATCCGGCGGCAAAAAATTTTTTTTTGAAAAACAAAAAGTTTTGGGTCAAAATTGAATAATTTGTGAAATTTGGTGGGACTTATTCACAAAAACCCCTCTTATACAAGGATCAAAATTGTAGAAAGATACCAAAAGCAATATTTCCCAATATTCTTGTTCCCTTTTATATGATATGGTATTAGAAAGAAAAAATAAAAAGAAAAAGAAAAAAATAAAAAGAAAAAAGAGCAAAAGCAGCAATATATATTTCCCAATATTCTTGTTTCCTTTTATATGATATGGTATTTATTTATATCTGCCCCTAATAATTTGGAGTTTCTTCCCCACATTCACCCAATTCCGAAAACAATAATATTTTTTCATCTATATATATATATATATATATATATATATATATATATATATATATATATATATATATATATATATATAAAAAAAAGTGAGCGAGAGAGATTCCAAATTTCAAAGAGAATTAAAAAGAAAAAAAAAACAGCACAAATAAATGGATAGACGTGGAAGAGGACGTCCAAAGAAGATTGCATCTGATAACTTGTGAGTAAACACACACACACACACACCAGATGTGTAGAATGTGTGTATGTGTATGTATATATATTTTTATTTTGGTAAATATTATATTTGAAGAAGAATTTGGTAGAGAGAGAAAGTGATGTTAGCTTTTGTATATTTCGAAAATCAATTTATCGATTGCAAACCCTAATTTGTGTATTGATGCTATGTAATTAGTCTCACAATTTCACTGCCACTAATTTTATTTATTTTCGATGATTTTTTTTTAATCAACTTGACGATCAATTATTCGTGACAGTGATCAAATACCGGTGAAACGTGGCGAAGATTTGCCCGAGTTCTTCAAAATTTACGTACCCGCAATTTATTCCGAGAGATTGGTAAATTTCCAAAAAAAAATCAATTTCCACGTTCAAGAATCTGATTAGGGTTCAAGAATCTGACTAGGGTTTAAGAATCTGATTAAATGTGACATTTGATTGTTTATTTATCAGTTTTTTTTGGTTTTTTTTTTTGTTCGTGACAGAGAATTCCTCCGGATTTTATCGAGAAATTTGGAGGAAATATACCGGAAACCGTCACACTGAAAAAAACACCCGGAATCTCGTTTCAAGCGGATATAAACAGAATTGACGACGACGACGATTGGTTTATCGAAAAGGGTTGGCCAGAATTCGTAAAGGAAAATTCGGTAGAGGAAAGTGATTTTCTGATTTTCACTTACGCCGGAAACGCAGTTTTCAATGTAAAAGTCTTTTCGAAAAACGGATGTATAAAGAGAGTTGATAATCTCCCAGAGGATGAACCTTCTGAATTCGAACCCGAATCTGGTTAGTTCATCTACAAATTTAAATTATTTCTCTGTTTTTCTTCACAAGTTTTTTTTTTTTTTTTGTTTATAATAAGTATGTTAATTTATGCAGAAAATTCGGAGGATAATCAATCCGAGGAAAGAAATTTAAGCCCAAGAAGGCCGTCGGAAAGAGAAACAGTCTGCGGAAATCGATATTTCTCGGTGAAACTGAAGAAGTCTTGCGTAACTAGAGGCTGGCTGGTAAGTTCATCAAATTTGTTTTCTGTTAGTTAATTTTTTTTTCTTAACATGCCATGATTTTTATTAATTGTTTAAATTAACCCCATATGCCTTTGATCAAGATTTATGAGATGCTACACCTGATGAAATACTAGTAATTAAAATTATTGAAACTGGACGAGTATTCCATAATACTAATGTTACTTCAGAAGCAACTTTGTTGAATTGTTTTCTTGAAATAAGATTATGGAGCCTATTTCAAGATACAGTAGAATCTCGATAAATTAATTAACATTTTTTTACATAATAAAATATCCCCGTCCCGATCTAGTGAAACATACTAAATTATTAGTTCGATAATTAATATTTCGCGAAATTAATCTAAATTTTTGCTATTTTCTACTGTATAAATTTATAGAGGTTTAACTGTGCTAATAATGGTGTTTTTGCATTTAAAATCACCCCCATTCACAACTTAAGGAGAACATTAAAAAACTTAAAATTACAATTTTATTTTAAAAAGTAAGGTAGAATATCATATCATATCACATGTATATATATATTTTTTTAATAATAATTGTGTATTTATTTAAATATGATATAATTGCAGCATATACCAAGTGAATTTTGGAGAACCCATTTGGGTGCGGACAAAAGAGGGTTAAGAATGGTGACTCTTAAGGTAAAAGAAAAGTCGTGGAAGGTTGGTATAACGAGTAAGAGTTTTAGAGCTGTTTTTTCCAAAGGTTGGGGCAAATTTGTAATTGACAATTCTTTGAGGACTGGGAATTCATGCATGTTTATGCTAATTCATGACGGTCACGATTTAGTTTTCAAGGTCCTTATTGACAAATAGTATTTCTTCTTTTTTTTTTTCTCACAATTCTTTGTATTTTTGTCGAAAATATCTTGATGTTTTTCTTTTTAAGAAAATAGTTTTAATTAAATATATGTTTATATTGTCTTTCAATTTTCAATGATATTTAGTTTTGTTTTGTGACTTTCAGCCCATTAAAAAAATTCTTCAAATTATTTTTATT